TAATAATAATAATAATTCTTCCACTCTTTTGTTGTTGTTGTTGTCGTTAATAATAATAATAATAATAATAATAATAATAATAATAATAATAATAATAATAATAATAATAATAATCTTTAAAGCAATGACCAGTGTGTATTGGTCTCTGAAATTTTTATTATATTCAGCTGTCACATGGACCTCATGGCTGGGCAAATGAGTTTGCTGCTGAGCAAAAGCAACATGGAGAGGATGAGTGGGTCAATGAATTTTCCAAATTAAATGTCAATGACTGGTCAGAAGAATTTGAGCGCCAGGTTGCCGATGGAACTTTTGGTGATGGTTCTGCTGATAATTGGGCAAATGCTTATGATGAGTAAGTTGTGTATTAGATTAGATAATATTTTTCCATTCAAGATGTCTATTCTATTTTAATCTTAGCCAGTTTGCTGTTTAAAAACATGAACCAGATTATCTGGAATCAAAGATTAGATGCAATCCTTAATGGAATGTCTGTATGAATGCACCATGTTGTTTGTCAGTTCTTGTTGACCTGCATTTTATCTTCCCTCTCTATGTTCCTTCCTGGAAGATCCACTATCATTTAAACATACCTTTCGTGGATATTTGGAGGTGGCTGGGATGTCATTCTAGAACTCGCTGGCGGTTGCCAGGTGAAAGTGCTAGTACCTAGGCAATGCTTAACTGGAAGCTAGGCATTAAAGGGAGCCTAGCACCTAGGCAGAACAGGTTAGGCTTCTAGAATAGATAAATCGAAGTTTCTCCACAATTACTTCCAAATTCTGCTCCCGTCTTGATGTGATAAGTGTTCAGGTGCTCAGATTAGCCATATATCCTACCAGCCGTAGGTGATGTTCGAGGCCACCCTGAGGAATGGTTAGCATACCGCCTAATTCTCTGCTGCAAAGGCCTACTGAATGCTGTGAAAACCGGACACAATGCCTTAGAATAGACCGAGTTCGCCTATAATCAAGGGCTTTCATTGGCAGAAATTTGTAGAAAGAATTACATCTGATGACATGTTCTTTGATGAGGAATTCTTCCTCCACAATAAGAAGGCTATTTCAGTTGATGGAATTATTCCCAAATCATTGGGCAATTGTGGTTAAAGGTCAGATGGAAATAAACACATCTTTGGGCATTAGCTTGGATGAGATAGGATTAAGGTTGCTATGGTTACCGAGGTGGTGAATGAGGTAGAATCTGATGGGAGTGGCCTTTAAAGTGTCTACGAACACCTCTGGGGAAGCTCTTTAGAAGCATCATTTTAGAATTCCATTATTGCAAAGGTTCCTAGAAGATTAGCAGAGTAGAAAAAGACATATAGGGATTTTCCTATATATTATTTGTTGATTTTCAGGTTTCCGATTTTCCTATAGGGATTACAAATATCATAGACCAGATCATTGACTGTCGATGTGATTGAGTCGATGGTACTTCCATTGTCACCTATGTAAAGTCAGGAATGTTGCATAATCCCATATATTATTTGTTGGTTTTCAGGTTTCTGACTTTCCTATAGGGATTACAAATATCATAGACTGTTGATGGGTTGAGTTGATTGTACCTTCATTCAAATTGTGTACCAATTTTGTTCAAGTTGAAATTATCTATTATCATCCATTGTGAACTAGAATTAAAAATGTCGACCCATAGGTGGAATGATATACTTTTCATGGCTGTATCATCTGCTAAAAGATGCAATTCTAGTATCTGTATTGTGCTGGTTCATTGGTACTGTATTATTGCTTGGCCTTTTTATTTTTTGTGCACTATACGCTTCAGTTTTTGTTGATGACGAATGTGCATGATGGCTTTCCTTTAGCTGGAAATTCTGTGATATTTGATGTAGTCAAAATGCTTATTTGGTTGTACAAACATAATTCTGGACTTGTATGTAGCTACCTTAATGAGCAAGCAGCACTAAAGCAGAAATCAGGAACATCACGGGGTGTGTATGTGTTTTCTGATATGAATCCGTATGTTGGCCATCCTAATCCTTTAAAGGAAGGGCATGAACTTTTCCGCAAGGGGCTTTTAAGTGAAGCAGTTCTTGCATTGGAAGCCGAGGTTCTAAAGAATCCTGACAACGCTGAAGGTTGGAGGTTACTTGGTGTAGCTCATGCAGAAAATGATGATGATCAACAGGTCAAATTAAATTTATTATTTCCTGAAATTACATGAAGTTCATGTTTATTTTATTTTATTTTTTTTTCTTATGACCTGTGTCAAAGAGTTGTAAACACATTTATGTGCTTGAGAGTTTCTGTTGGTTGGTACATCTCATGTTCAACACAACATCTTCGTTCGCCTTTGCTGTTTTTCGTGCGAAATCAGATGGTGATACCTTTGGCTAATGTAGATTTTGTAGGACAAAGATGTTTAAGTTTCACATTTCTGAGACTGATACAATTAAATTCTATTTCATGTTTATTTATCTATCCTGAATAAAATTTGATGTCTCAGGCAATTGCAGCCATGATGCGTGCTCAAGAAGTTGATCCAACGAACCTGGAAGTTCTTCTGGCTCTTGGTGTGAGCCATACAAATGGTTAGTAGTTGCAAAATTCATGGCCTCTCATTTTCTGAATTTATCTCTGCCTCATGGTGTATTTAATTAATGAAACAACCCATTGTACAATTAGTAATAATCAATAAAAAATAATTTATTGGGTGTACCTTTTACTTTCCCAACAATTGTTTTCCTTAATCTGTGCATAAATTGTCATAAGCCTGTCCTGGTGGGATGGAGGAAATATATCATTATATGATATATCGAGAGTTGAGGTTTTTTTTTTTTTTTTTTTTTTTTTTTTT